ATGAGATGCAAACAATGGAAACTGATTTGGTAGTGGAAGAAAAATAGACAGAAATAGGACAGTACATGTGAATATCACCTGTAATTATGTATTATATTCTATAAATAAAACCTATGATACATATAATAAATACAACGAGTTATACATATATACACATACATATTTTGCATGTGTATGCATATAAAATGTATGAAGACAAACTTGAGCCTTGAGCCCACAGGTGCCTCTATGCAAAATGATAGCATGTGACTTGGATTACTGCATGCAGACTCTGTACATAAAGAGGCATTTCCCTGTACAGAGCACTGTGTAGGATAAGGACTGGATTTGTCATTGTGGAGCTATCTGCACTGGAGAAGTGGAAACAATTTTGTGGGTTCCCTCCCCTTTCCTAAAACATGCAGGGAAATGGAGATGAAGCTTAAAAGGAAACTTAGGCTTCAAAAGTGCATTGAAGGGAAATATAACCTCAGCAATAATAATTTAAAAAGCCCAGTAACAATACAGGTTATATTCTGGGGCGAGCCTGAGTTTTGGTGCAAGCAAACATAAAAGAGAAACATTCCATTTCTGCAGCAATCACTGTCAAACTTTTAGCCAAGGCAAGCTGCTTCAAATCCAAGAGCAACTTCAAAGCATTCCTGGGAAGGAAAGCATGAACAGGAGGGCAGGTGAAGACCAAGACAAGCCTCAGAAACAGAGCCCTCAGGGGACTGGGAAAGGAGGGCACCCAGCCATCTGACCACAATTTCAAGAGAAAAACCATCCAAATGAGTAGTTGGCTGCCCAACCTCTCACCCGTGAGGCTCACCAAGTGAAAAACAAACATAAAACCCAAACACATGCCAACCTTGAGACACTGTCCACTTGCTGCAGTTGATCCCAAAGGATGAAAAGCCCCATGCAGCTGCTGCAGCCCCTGCTTGTAGGTTTTTACCTACAGACCTCACACATCCAAAACAAGGGGCAGCTGCTGTTTCAAGAAGTTTGTGCCTACAACACACAAGGCAAGGGCTGAGAGAGAGGGGATAGACCCCATACTTGTACCACAAGTCACGCAGGAGGCTAACCAGTGTGTCTGCTGAAACTCCTGGCTTCCCTTGCTGCTTGCTGACTACAGCCTTCCCTTCCAAAGGGATGCAGAGACAGGAAGAGTGGAGAAACATGTACCAACTGTAATAGAAAGCAAAGATTTTCTTTCCTAACCATTTATGGCTGTCAAGCAAACCTGCGTCCTAAAATCCCTAACTCGACCAAGAAGTCTCCCTTATCAGTCAGCCTTATCTTCTGCCTCCCCTCTCAGCTTCCTGATATCTTCCCAAGAAGTTTTTTCCACTTCACAACAACCCGCCATTCTTCTTTGCAGCTACACTGCAGTTGTCTCTTAAAACCCATATTTACAAACAGAAAGCAGAAACCTTCTCTGACAGGAGTGGCAGAACCAGTACAGCTCCTCAGTACCTGCGATGCAGCCTCCTTTCTCATGGCAAGACATGGATCCCTTCCCAGGCCAGGATCCTTATTCTCCAGCTCCAGCAAACACAAGTGTAGGTAGCCAGCTGCAAGCAAGCAGCCCAAACCTATAAACCTCTCTCAAATATCTCTAGTCTTAAAAGTTTATGCAAAATTGAATATAATAGATTCTTGGGAAGGATAAAAAAATACATACCAGATACCTTGCACACATCTGCTTTAAAGTGATTACACTTGTCAGTGCATTCATAAACTGAAGATGTAGGGACTGATGCTCTCAGAAAGTGCACATTATTAACAACCTGCAAGTGTTCAGAAAAGGTCTTCCACATAAATCTACGGAAATAATCTAAATACAGTGAAATTGGAATAAATAACTTAGGAAAAACTGGCGTTGGGATCCTGATCTTATGGATATTCACATTCACTTTCACATATACTTTGTAGTCAACAGGACTTCTCAAAAGAGTTGAACCCAGATCTGACACACTTGCCTGGCTTTATACTTCCAGCACTGTTGTTGTTGCTGCTTTTAAACTCTTGAGGCAAGATTTCCCATCAGGACACTGCTCCAGCTACCCCAAAGTGCTGCTCTCTCTGCTCTCTTGGCTGGGCTGTGAATGTACCATTGCTATCTGCAGTGCACCCATTGCCATGGAAACAAACTTCATATTTAAAGAGTATTTTTAAAGACAGGCAGGCAAGGACACCAGATCCATGAGGAACAAAGCCAATCCAACCACCCATCACCCTCTGTGGGGAAATCTTACTTCTATCCTACCTGAAGGCTGGACCAGTATGGGGCTCCACAGTTACTTGCAGCTCTCAGGTGGCACCCAAGGGCTGAGCAACAGATTGGCCTCACATAATTAAAATGCACTGAGTTAGAACAGACACACTGTAAGCCAGCTGGCATCTAAATATACGCAAGCACACTGCACTTAAGAAGTTACCTTTGTGGAAAGGAGCTAGCAGCTCCAGGTCATGTTAACAGAACGCCTACTGGAATGAATCCCAGTAAGGACCATAACTGATTCCTTTTTCAAGTACGTATTATCTAGTCAGACAGGCTAAGTAGCCTAGCTCTAGAACACCTCCTCCTTCCTCTTGCCATTCTCTTCTCTCCTCTTTGTCTGTCCATAAACTCCACTGACAAGAAGGGTTAGCACTGTTGCATGCTCTGGGGAACAGGACACCAATGCTCACTGCTAGGACAATCACAAAAGGTCTAAAAAGAGACTTGTAAGAAGAAATATCACATTGTTGACTTCAACTGCAGCAAGAGTTCAGCAGCCTGCCCAGTAGGGTAGTTATTTGGAAAAGGTAACTTTTTTATCTATTCTTTGCACTAGCCCCTTTGCCAAGGGAACTGGATTTCACCAGTGCTGCCAAGAGCACTATGTACCTCCACCATCTAACAGTGCAGATGGTCTCAATCTTCAGCACCAAGTCCTGCAGTACTGCCACCTGCAAAATCTCCCTATCCCTTTTTCACAGAGTCAGGAGAGGTCGTGAAAGTGATTCCAGGGTAAAGATTAAATAAAATCCCAAACATCAGGAACAACTCCTCCACCTCCTCCTCCTCTCTTATGAAACACTGCAGAATGAGCAGAAGATGAAATGCTTTCCATTCATTTTCTATTTTTAAACTCACTTGTTAACGTTTCTTGGCTTTTTAAAATATCATTTGACCAGAGCTCTACTAATTACCCAGTAGTCTCAGCAGCATGAATTTCTTAAGGATTTTTCCCAAAAGGAAACTCCCCTCACATTTAGCCTAGTTTGGAGCTTCTTTCTATTAACTTCTAGGGAAGTTTGCTTTATGAAGTTTCTTGTGCTTCTTCTCCTGTCACAGTAAAAAGTATCTGTCATTTCCTTTGAGCATTCATTTAAAGATATTCATATAAACCAGTTTGGATATATAGAAAGGCAAGGCTTTATGTAGACAATGTTTCCAAATGATTTTTAAAAACCTCATTTCACTTCAAAAAGCCTTCTCTCAGGCTTTATGTATAGTCCTCAGTGAAATGCAGCCAAATTTGTGAAATCTCTAACAGGCCACACCTTGTTTTAAGGGAGCTTTTTGGACTACAGAACTGTCAGCGTATGAAAACTGATGTCTTAGTGGATCTTCTTAAACAACTTTGCTTGTTAATGCTTAGACATAAGTACTAATCTCTCTCTTCTATTACAGAGTGGTTTAGTACTCCATTTCACTGTGAAGATAATGCTGAACACACAAACATTATTAGGAGTGAAAGTCAGTCTAAGAGTTGCCAGTTATTCATGGCCTTGCTTCTCCACCAGCACTAGCTTTTGAACTCCCTTTTTGCTAGTAGGCATTTACACACCAGAACAAGCAGGTTGGATCCTGTCCTCCCACCGTTCCTGCATTTCCCTTTTTCCCCTCCAGATGTTTATAACTGCTGAATTAAACATAGCTGCTAAAAAATGCTGGTGGTGTGCCTTGTATCCTGTGTACCAATATTTCCCACTTCTTTTCTTAGAAGTAAAAAAAAGAAGAAAAAAAAAAGAAACAGGACTTCACAAGACAGGTTGACAAGTCACAGGACTTCACAAGACAGGTTTAAAGACCAAGACACATAAAGTTTCATTCCCATACACATACATTTAAAAAACACAAATAAAAGGAGCTGATTTTCATTTTGGGATACTAGAAAGTTCCATTACTGAACATAACTATAGTTTAAAGAGGTTTTTTTGTTTGCTCTTTTTTTAATAAACCTGAAGTGACGTCAGTTAGAAGGGACCTCTAGAGATCAGCCCCTTGCTCAAAGCGCAGGCAGCTCAGGTAAGGTTGCTCAGGGCTTTTTCTTCCTCAACTTTGAATACCTCCATAGATGATGACATCATCTATGTTCAAGTGTTTGACATGCTCATAGTGAAAAAGGCTTTCTTAACATCCGAGTGGAATTTCCCTTCTTGCAAACTGTATCATTATTTCTTGTGCTATCGCTGTGCATCTCTGAGAGGAGTCCAGATCTGCCTCCTCTGCATCCATGCATCAGAGAGCTGCAGACCACAATAAGACTTCCCCTTTGCCTCTTCCCCCGAAGACTGAAACTCCATTGCACCCTTTCCTTACACATTACGTTGTACAGTACCCAAACGTCAAGGTGGTCTTCATTTGACTCATTTGATTTATTGGTCTCCATTTATCTTAAACAACCAAAGATTCAGATACATAGAAACAAGTCTATTTCTGGATCTTCTCCCACTTCTTTTGGATGAACCCTTAGTTTTAATGCAATACAGTGCAAAGTTAGTAATTTCTGCTGAGCATAATTTCACTCTCTATGGACCAATTGCTTGATTCACAATGCCTGCAGACTGAAATCAAACCAATCCCATCTGTAACTTCATTGTAGACATTTCAATTAGCACAGAAGATTCATATGCACCTTTAGCGCACCACTATCCCACCAGGAACATTCCATTACTCCATCATCATGGCAAGCAAACAATGACAAGTAGATCAACACTGATTTTGCACACAGCAGTATTACCTTCATTAAAATTGTCATCAGTCGAGATGTGGGTCAGCGGTGACTGGGGCCGGGAATCCCCACACAAGGAGTAGCTGTGCTCTGCCTGGATGAGTGGCGCTGGGGATGCTGGAGACAGTTCCACCTCCATCACTTCATTCTTCTCAGACAAGAAGGGATCATTCAAGAGCTGGCCTAGGACATCTGGTGAGAACTCATCCAGGAACTCTGTGAAGTGCTGTGGAGATAAAAAGGGAAAAAGTTGTCTCCTTGCCTGTCATGCCAACAACAGAACAATCCTGGTATCTGCAGCAGGCACCCATGCCAGTCAGTAGAAGGAACAACCAGCCCTGCTCCAGTGAAAACAGAAGAGTTTATGATTAACTCACAATGAAAACGGAAAACAGAAGCACAGCAGCCATGTCCTGAGGCAGCCTCCTTTCTTTCCCTAGAGGTACTCCCTACGCACCCTGCAGGATTTATTGTTAGGATGTGCCTTGTGTGGAATAGAACACTTGGGTGGTCACTGAAGCACAGAGAACAGAAAGGAAGCAACTCAGGCTCATATTGTCTGCCACCACATATGACAATTCTAGTTGCATAGAACATATACCACAATCCAGCAGAAAGAGTCCGCGTGTCCCCAGGCAATTCGTTTTCTATACAGTGGAATTCCTGGGTAATTTATACATCTATTCCAGACACGGCATTCTAGCAAAATTCAGCTTCTGGGCCCTACAACTGGAGCTCCTGGCAGCCACTGCTAATTACTACTTTACCTATTACAATAGCAATGCATTCTATGACTGCATGTACTAGAATAACTTTGTGCTTGTTTTTTATTCAAAACAAGCAGAAACCAAATCTCCCAATCTACTTCCTAGAGAACCCAGTGCAGTTCCCAGCAATATCTAAAGAGACTGCAGCTCTTCTTGTTTTCATTTCAAGTATCAGAAGACTACGGAAGAAACTGTACGGCAAGAAACCATTCCTCCTTGTTTTAGACACAGATAAATCTATTTTGGTACAAAAATATTTGTGCAATGAATCATAATGAGCCTTTCTAAACAATCAGGCATTATCTACCATCTCATATAGGAGTCTTTGTCAACTGGGGCCTGGTCCTATGAAACTCTAAGTCTGCTTGATTTGCTCTGTTTTTGCAGGCAGCACTGATCTTGCCCTTCATCTTGCACTCTCCTGCAGAAACAAACACAGAAACTCAAGGTCTGGCTTCCTGTAGGGAAGAATCAAGAACTAGTCCATACTGTATGATTCCAGAAGAGAAGCAGTGTGCTTACACTCCTCGCATGCCCTGTACAACGCTTGTGGCCTCAAAGCCTGGTGCTAGAATATGCGAGCTCGGGTGGGTCTCACAGAGCCCACCAAGCACCTAAAGAGACACAGCCCCTCCTCCAAATGTTCACCAGTACTAACCGGGACTTCTTTCAAAATTCATAAGCCTTCAGTCAATTCTGACAGGCACTAAAGAAAATATTTACTAAATATAAGGCAGTACACAGAGGAACACAGTTAACTATGCTCAAACAGCAAGCTAGCTAAAATAAAGTGTTTACAAATGGCAAAATGGATTTGTAGTTTCATATTAACTTGCTGTGAATGATAAAACAACTGAACTAACTCTGGAATGACTCAGCAAGGGGGTCATGACCACCTTCGAAAACCTTGTTTTAGTTTCAATACCCAAGAACTCAGTAGCTCTCACAACTAGAGCTGCTTCCCAGCTGCTAAATGTATAAACCACGCTTCCCTATTAGCACAAGATACAACATGACTGCTTCAGTATTTGTACACTGGTTTCAAGACACAGCTGAAAAACAAAACGAGCATGGGCTACATGGCTATCTTTAGCAAAATCAGACAAAGATTCCTGCACAATACTGTTTCAATACAGAAGAAATTTGTATCAACTGCTGTGTAAATAACTTTCAGCAAATGGAAGAATAAAAGTTAGATTACTTTCGTTTTAAATGGGGAATTTTCCTAATACCACTTCAGGAACAGCAGCAAAGGAAATAAACGTTCAGCTTCTCAAAACCAGACAGAAAGAGGGCTTTGGGGCAGGGAAGGCAGTCCAACACGTTCCTCAACATACATGCTTTCTGTTTTTCTGCTGCATCTGCAAAACTGACAAGCAGCAATCTGCATGGAAGAAATGGAGTACATTTACAGCAGAGCCTTCTGACAGCAAATAAATGCTCTATCTATTCTTAAAATGGTTCTCTAATTTTGTTGTTGTGTTTCCATCTTATTTTTAAAGTCTGCGATGTAACTTTGAACACAGAAGTCCTAAAGAGTGTGCCAGGCCAGATCACACAGCTGCTGGATTCCACTGAGAGATACAGCTTTAGGGTCTGGACTTCTTAATCATTAGAGAAAATACTGCTTGAGATACAGGAATATTTTGTACGTTACACACATCTCTACCACAGCGAACACATGAAGCCTGCCTTTTTTTTTTTTTCCCCCTTAAGAAAACAGTAGTCTATTGAAAGCAACTTCATTTGATTAAAGGTTTCAAAAAGGCATTTGGGCAACAGCTTACAGCTTTTGAGGGAGCAGTGAGACATCAGCCTCCTCACAGTTCCCACCCACACTTAAACTGTTCCTTTCTGCCTTCTCAAGGCACATCCTCCCTCTCTCCCACCATTTCCGCATACACCACAGTGGTCAGCAGCAACTTCCAGAGTAGAACATCCACAGAACAGCCCTCCATGCTGATATTGCAGCAATCACCTCTGCGGTGATCACACTCCAGAGGAGGAAAGGGCAAATTAGAGAGGAAGCTGAGAAGACTGCCAGAAATTCAATATCTATTTGGTTGAAAAAGAAAGGAATTCTTTGTCTGTGGCTTTCAGTTTGGCATCTTTCCCCAACAGAGTTTATCTTTAAAAAAAGAAAAAAAGAGTACTTGCTTCAGAAATGTGGGTTTTGTTGTTTTGTTGTTGTTGTTGTTGGCAATCGCTTTCTTTTTTAATAAAATACAGCTCTGTTGCAGCTCCTGGCCACCCCGCTATTGGTACTGCAGTGGCACAGGCTGCCCAGGGAGGTGGTGGAGTAACCATCCTTGGAGATGTTCATGAAATGAGTGGATGTGGAAGTTTAGGACATGATCTAGACCAGTCATAGGCATGGGCTGACGGTTGGACTAGATGATCTTATTGGTCTTTCCAACCTTAATGATGATTCTATGATTCTATACCCTCACACCCCACTGCCAGTGACAGTACTAGTTACAGACATTTGTATAAGGAGTGTATTTGAATTAATAAATAGTTCTTTCTATATAGCAAAAATATGTGTTTAGTTGGGATTTGAATCTCTGTAAAAAGCCATTAGGACAGATACAGCCTTATCTTCCCCTTCTCCCAGAATACTTTACAAACAAGCAAAACACCAGGGCTCATGTTTGCAGGGAGAGGGTTGCAGCTCCACGGAGTTTCTCTGCCAATCTGTTGGGACATTTACTCCTGCTTATAAGCCAGGTGCTTTAGGGGAATACAAAACACCTACAGACATCTTCCCCACGGTAAGCAAACAGAGGAGGGTTCCTGCATCCGGGCGCGTGGTGGATTTTGGATTGCTTTTAGCAAGTCATATTTGGCCTCAGCCCAAGTGAGCCGCAGGCTGCAGCTCTCACAGCATTACTGTTCCTGCCAGACAAAGCTCCTTTTCTCCATTTCTGCCTACGGGAAAAGTTTTTTTCTTCTCTGCTCAAATGGACAGCTCTGAAGTGAAACAGAGACTCAGGTTTGGGTCCTTCCATAGGAGTGCTGACTTCTCCAGCCTGAAGTCAGACCAGAGAGTGCTGGTTATCTCAAGCTGTCATGTTATCAGGACTAAGACTGAAACAGAAAACTGGCTTTCAAAGGACTCAATAAAAAAAGCAATGAAGTCGATAGCCCTAAATGATACTCCTTAATTACATTATTAAACAAGTAGCATGCTTTGGTGAGCCTATAAAACACACTACACCCCCTAGGAGGCCTACGCACTTCCTTTGGGTTCCTTTGTACCTTTGGGTACAACCAAAGCCCACCCTTCAGGAATCTCAGAGCATGCTGGCCTACATGCACTGTGCCAGGGTGCACCTCAGGCATGAATTTGTCCTCATCTCTGGTTTCCTCTCTCACTGTGAGTTAACAGGGAAAACAGGGAATCGTTTCTTCACTTGCTCTCTTGTGGTTTGTCTAAATCAAAGGTACACAGGAGATAAAATACAGAAAGAACCATTTCTAGCTAGTAGCATCAAATATCAGGAAGAGAGGCTACATGGAGATACCATCTCCTTTTCAAGCAACCAAACACACATTTCACAGGCTTCTGCTTATATGGTATCCAAGGAGGTCTGAATAGGATCCACAGCTGCTAACACAAGGATTCAAACTCTAGGGCACCCAGGCAAAGTGCCAGTCGTTAAAGATGGCACATACATGCTTTTCACTCTCAGCAGGCTCAGCTCTAAACTTGGTTATAATGCAAGAGCCATAAAATGCATCATACACAGTTCTGCTTAAGCGTGCAAGTGCAGCATCTACTCATTAGGAGGAAAGTCTTTAGTCAGAGAGTGGTGATGCAGTGGTGCTCAAGACAGGTTGGATGGGGTCCTGGGCAGCCTGAGCTGGTGAGTGGCAGCCCTGCCCATGGCAGGGGGTTAGAACTGTTGGGCTTTAAGGTCCTTTCCAACCCAAGCCATTCTGGGATTTCATGATAAGGACCTGAAGCAGAAATCTGCTCTTTGCAGCTAAAGAACCATGCCTAGATACTGCTCATGTAGTATGGAGGGAGGACTGCACATGTAGTCCTGCTAATGATGATGATGCAGGAGAGAAGTCCATGAATTCCTGCACACCCAAACCCAAGGACACATACTGAAAAGCTCCCTCAGCTTCCAAAGGACCAAGAGAACTGTTCTCAGTACTCACTGGCACTTGTGCAGCAGTTCACTGTCACACAGATTCAGGCAAAAAAACTCTGCAAGTTTCCAGGCACATCACATCCCTCAAATTCTTCCTCTTCTGGCATTTTTTACATTTGCAGCAGGGAAGCTGGCCAACGCTCATTCTTCTCCAAACTCAGCCACAGATTGAATCACGTGGTACGCAGCCCTGTCAGCTTTGAGAAGGGCTAATGATGGAGCTCCCAGGAGCCTCACCTCCACAATTCATTCCCACGTGCCCTTCAGGGAACAGAAGAGCTCACCTACTGGCATAGGAT